AAATGGCAGGCGGATTGCTCGTACGTGATCTCGAGTCTGATGTAACTCGCATACCGGCATGGGGCACTGCATCCACTGCGATTCATACACTGCAAGCCTATTTAGACGAAGGAAAACAATTTGTGAAGAATGCCCGTATTCCGAACAAATATTTATAGCTACTCGTCACCAGAAATTTGGAGAAAAAGTCTCCCGGCTGGCTGTGTCCTGTTTTGAGTAGGGGTTGACCAGTTAACCCCACTAAAAATTGACGGCCAAAATGGCCATGGAGCTGCAGGCGTATCAGTCTGAGCTGCTGTTAAGTTCTGCAAATTCCGCCAAGGCCTCGGGCCGTAGGTGTTTGGGTAGCACAAAGCAGGGAGCTTTTTGCTTGGAATCAGTACCCCCCCCCCCCCCCTAGACGACAAGTGGTGTCTTGGAGCGGACTGGTGGGCGGGTGGGCGAGTATCGATTGTACTTTTGATTTCCTGAATGCAGGTAGCGGCCTCTTAAGAGGGGAGGGGTGGGTGACCTCTGGGCGATGAGGGTGGTGGGAACGGTGGGAATGTCAAGGGGGGAAGGTGTGGGCCCTACCTTGCTTGCCGGTTTTTCTTGTTTTGCCACTCCTAAATTTGGGGTGCCTGGTCTACATGAGCCTGCGTGTTACAACACGATCCCCGGTTTCGCCTCGCCGCTGGGCAGGCTCCGGCCGAGACGGGTCGCATAATTAGCGTTAAACTGTTAACTTATGCCAGTTTTTGTAAGGCAAACAATCATATTGAACTGGTTCATGGCTAACCCAACAATATGATCCAAACGAGCCTGCCAAAGAGTAATCGATACAAAGCAAGAAAAGATCAAACACCCTAAGAATCAGTACGTTTCCGGGCTCTCCTCGTTCACACTTCGTTCGTGCTTGTAATCATGAAGCTATCGTTAGTATCCTCCCATCCATCCTTCTCTAGGATTTAATAGTGCAGTTTCGTGATATTTCTACTGCAAAATGTTCTAGGTAAATGATACCTCCTCGTCTCGAGGGGAAGCTAGTATACTATGCTTCTCTTCGGAAGAGAATTAGATAACCCGATACTACTTTGTGTTGATGTGATAGAGGGCACGCGAAATTTGCAGAGCTGGGCCAAGCAGGAGATCGACTGTAGTCGTGTGCAGCATTCGCCTTCGTGACACGGGGCTGATATGGTATGACCTGATGTGACATGACGCTCTTGGCCTTTTCTGCTGCGATCTCCTCAGAATGTCCAGACTTCGCACTCTGGTACATGGCATGAATTGTGTCAACCACCTGACAGGGGTTAGATGGCACTGGTGGGAATGGAACGAAGTCGTGCGGTACAACTCACACGAGCTTTCAGCAATTACAAGATGCTGTCCAAAAATGATCAAAGATGTACCCTAAAGCCTAAACCCAAAACCCTATCAGCCTATCACCCCATCACCCTATCACCCTAAAACCCTACAACCCTACAACCCTACAACCCAAAAACCCTACAAACCCTACACACCCTAAAACCCTAAAACCCTAAAACCCTAAAACCCTAAAACCCTAAAACCCTAAAACCCAAAAACCCAAAAACCCAAAAACCCAAAAACCCTAAAACCCTGAAACCCTAAAACCCTGAAACCCCAAAAAACCCAAAAAACCCTAAAACCCAAAAACCCTAAAACCCAAAAACCCTGAACCCTAAAACCCTAAAACCCTAAGCGCGATGCTGAATAAAACTTTACCAGAGTGAGGGCACAGCCTTCTTGCCCAGAAGCACATCTGCAGCGTTCGTGAAAGGCAGGCCAAGACCTGCAGTAGAGGGTTTAGGGTTTAGGGTTTAGGGTAGAGAAGATGAACGTGGTCTCACTATACGATGGCAGACACACCTTCACAGGATGATTGTGCACCAACCGAGTGATTCCCTAAACACAAGGTCAGCACTAAGGGATTTCTTATGTTGAGAGGACTGTAAGAGGGGTTAGATCGGTGGGCATGCCTTTTGCGCATCTTGGTCACAAGTCGTGCTCTCGCCTAGGCGCTTGCGTGGCCGCAGACTTTTTGAGGACTACCGAAACGTCGTCGTTTTCATTGGCAAGCGCAGCACTATGGAACTTCCTGTGTTGCGGCAAGCAACTGCGGATTCACAACGAGATGAAACTGAAACTGTCGCCGCTGTTAACTTCTGGGCTCCCGAAATGCGAAACCGTCGCCACGAAACGCGAAACTCTCGTCTCGTCGCTTTTGGACGTCTGGGCTCGCACTTCATGCTCTACGTCTAAACGTCTCTACGTCTCTACGTCTCTACGCTGCCACAAGGCATAACGTCTTCTTTCCAAGCGACAACCTTTGATGAACGCATGAAGTGATTCGGGCCCATCTCCCTCTGAATCGTAGTTCTCGAAATAGAAGCCTGCAGCCAAGCACCATGCCAAGCACAGATCCAACTTTGGGAGTCCCTCCCCACTCCTGGCCTGGGATCGACTGCTCGCTTCCGTCATGAAGCTGAACTTTCAATCCGCCTGAGGAAGGGTGCATGTCCTGTGCAGCTGTACGGACCACTTCGTGTACAACTCCCTCCCCCCCCCCCCCCCCCGTGTGTGCATGGCAGAGTATCCTCTCCGCTGTAGGTCACCACTCCTTCTGATCCAAAAATCTTCATATCGATCTGCTTGGTGGAGCTCCCATATGACCTTTTTGCAAGCAGCTTGCTCCAATGCCACCACTAGTACACCCTAAACCCTTGTATCTAGCTCAATTTCACCCCCAAACAAGCCTTAGCGAATCGCCTTCAGGACTTAGGGTTTCAGGGCTTTTGGGTTTGCACCGTTGGATGCTGACCTGTGCTGTGCAACTGCTGGATGACAACTCAAAGACCTGATGAAGAGGTTGGCCAACCCCTAATTAAACCCGATCCTAAACCCTAAACCCTAAACCCTAAACTCTAAACCCCAAGCCCTAAGCTCTAAACCCTAAAGCCTAACAAGCCTCCAACTTCTGTCACCCAAGCCTTGCCCCCACGCAGGTCCAAGTGGCTTAAAGGGCAGCGAAGCTGTGCCCTGCACGTTCAGGACGGCCTGTCAACGGGCTTCTTTCCGAACTGCGGATACAACAAAACTGATCTGGGGCTACGTATCAAAACCCAGTCCTCATGCATGTTCTTGCCAAGAAGGGTCATGGACATAGTTTTGACAGCTGCTCTGAGATGGGTGCTTTACCGTGTCTCCAGTCGTGCCAGTCACGTCATGTCTGCACCGCAGATTGGCAGCTAAGGGATTTGGGTTGGGATGTTCCCCCTCATGCTAAAAGTCCTCAATCGGGATTTACTTTGGGGTACTAGAATCCCTATGAAGGGCTGTTAGTATAAGGGGGAACATCCAAAGTTCAGGGATTTGGGCTTCTCTGTAGCTGCGTTCAGAGTCAAGCTGCACCGCCCTCACACTTGATGATGGCGCTGTCAAAGATGTCGGCGCCCGTCTTCTCTGACAGGACCATATTGCAATACACGCTCCTTGACTGCTCATCCCCCTCGCCCAGCACTGGCGAAGATGGCTACTCAAAGAAAAGGTTGAAGGTTGAAGGTTGCCTGCTCAGAAACCCTAAACCCTAAACCCTAAACCCTAAACCCTAAACCCTAAACCCTAAACCCTAAACCCCAAGACCCGACAAACAACCTTCAGAGAGGGCTCTTGGGCTCGAGCTCGGTGACGTAGTACAGCCAGGCCAAGGCATGAGACATCTGCCCCCACCCGAAGCCATTTCCTGCAGGGGGCGCCCGGAAAGCATCGGAAGAAAAGACCAAGGTTTCGGATTTCAGGTTTAGGGTTTAGGGTTTTAGGGTTTAGGGTTTAGGGTTTCAGGTTTAGTGTGTAAATACCAAATTCCTAGTGTAACTCCGCAACAGTCACCCCCAGTTGCCCATGCAAGCGACGATCAAGAGCGGGGGGTCTCTTGCTCACTCCTTGCATGGTCCCGGAAGGTCGAACCCAGCCCACGTTCTCCGGATTCTCGAATAGCCACAGCAAGGGGCAAGCCATTGAACCTTGCGGATTTTGAGGGCTTCTCAACACAAAATGTTGCAAGCATGCTTGTTTGGGGGACTTACAAGAACCAATTAGAACACCGCCAGCCTTCGCCCCCCTCTCCCCCCCCCCCCCCTTCACTCCCCCCCACACGCAAACACTGACGCACTGGGCGCGGTTGAGGGTTCAGGGCTTCGCGAACGTCTCATGATTTCTCCTCTTGCCAGAGCACCTTGGGCGTACTTCACGGCACCGACTTTGCCTTGGGTCGGACACAAACTGAAGCATCTGACCTTGTTGACAGCGTTTCTCAAATCAAGTGTAGAGCAACATGAGTTTTTGACATGAGTGCATGGTGCCACGATAACATGCTTACCAAGGTGCTCTTGACCACCTCGCGGACTTTCTGTGCAGAGTCCCGGAAGTTTGCAGTGTTATTCACCAAGAAGACTTTGTCTTGGTGGACGGCCGCATTCGCAAGACTTCTTGCTTCAGCGGGGTCAGTAGTCATCGGCTTCTCCATGAAAACATGGAGACCGGCATCCAAGGCTTTCAAGCCAATCTCAGCATGCGATGAGTGGCTGGTTGCCACCACCACGCCATCCGTGGATGCTGCAGCGGGTGAAAGCAAGAACTCATCCTTGCATCAGCTTGGGTCTACATGACATCAGGGAGAGCAGAAAACTCTCAAAACAAAGCGCTTTCCCACCAAGCGTCAAAGGTCTTGAAGATGGGCGCATTGTAGAGACCCTTCAGCTCTTCCAGGGTCTTCATATCAGGGTTCAGCGTGCCTCACAAGTTAAGGGTGGCAAAATGAGAGCTAAGTCTGAAGTACGCCGTACGCTTCTGGTTCAGCCATTGCCGGCAGGGATCTGCGCGGAGCGTCGCATGGTTCCACAATGGCCGAGATCTCCGCAACTTGGCGAGTGCTGTCAAGCACATGGACACTGCGAGTTGCTGCTGGCTTCCGTACCACTGTGGAGGAGACGTGGATTTCGGCTCAAGTGTGGAAGGTGCCAGCCCTGCGACCACCACCCGGCACCGATCACCGCAATGTGAGCGTGCCTTGCGCAGTCACCGGCTTTGAGGTATGGTGGCCTATTAGGGCCCCCTTAAGAATGGAGACCTTGATTTAGAACAAAACCCTCCGTCAGGGTTGTGGAAACTACGCGATACATGCGATCAGAGCCTCTTTGCCACTGTTGGATCTGGCATTGCTGGTGGCGACGGTGCAATCATAAGAAACTGTGTCTTCTTTCATGGAACACACTACTGCTTGCTGATTGGAGGGCTGTCTCCTAAAACCAGCATCATTGCGACATACTCAGCTCATGTATATGCATGACTTGACATGTGGGGTTTACACGTGTGTACAAGGTGCCGCTCAGTTCTGATGAGGCTTGAGCAGTGCGAGTCAGCCACAATGCAGGTTGTATTCGTGCCAACGTCTCAGACATAGCAACTAACCTAAGCCCTTCTGAGATCAACTGCATCTTTATCTCTTCATAGCCAGGCTGGCCAGGCTGTCTGTGCGAGAAGGCGAAATGGCAGCATGCCATGCTTTTCGAGCTTCTGCTTCATCTGGGGTTCTCTGTAGGAACATAGCTGCTGCATGCAGTCAAATCCTAAAGTGTTCATTTACAGCATCTGCAGCACTTCGCGCTGCAGAGCGTTCCTGGCTAGATGTGATGGGAACCATGAGCCATAAGCGCATAACTTCATCGCGTCATGGCAATGGCGGCAAGGCATGAAACTGTTGCGGGGCATGGTTCCTCTGATGCGCTTGGGTGGCATCGTATGTTATATGTTGCTTGGTGCGGGTCTGTTTCACAGCCCAAGTGTGGCAAGCAACGGGATCTTGTGTTGACACGTTCCATACAAGTGAAAAATGCCTGGTTGAATCCATACATGCAGCTTTGCACGGCCATGCGGGTCTTCACATGAATTGGCCTCGCTGGCTATTCAGGGCAGTGTGTCCATGCAAAATGGACACTCTTGCTGTTGGTTAGTAGGGAATGAGGGAGTGAGGTACCCTACATAATCCCTTAAAGGGAATATATAGGGTACCCTATAGAATCCCTTAAAGGGTATATCTGGGGGGATAGAGGGTACCTCATTCCCTCTCTCCCCACTAACCAGCAGCAAGCACTGCACGCAGCCGCCCTCTCGGCACGCTGACGACCGGACGGCGGCAATGAGGATGACGATGTCCATCCTGAGATCTCAACTTGCAGATGCATCAGAGTTATACGTAGGGGTATGAGCACCCTAAACAGAGATATGGGTAGCGTTGCTATGATTGTAACCCTACTAATGACTACCTACGAACCTCCAAGTAGCAGCTCTTTGGCAGTGACTGACAGAGGAAATTCTGTTCAGAAGCGGGAGTCGGCCACACCGGCCGAATATATCCACCCGAAGTGTTAAAGACCCCCTTCGGTTTTATTGAAAGCTGGTAATCCTATTAAGGTGGAGAATATATATATATATATATATATACATATGTATGCTACCCCCCCCCCCCCAAAAAAAAAAAATACTACGTTTTACTCGGTTTTCCTATCGTACACTATGAAAACCTCTCCCCAGAGACCCTCAATTCCAGAATTCCAGAATTCCAGATTTTCTGCCCCTAATTCCAGAATTCCAGATTTTTCAAGGGTCCCCAGTTCCAGAATTCCAGATAAGCCTGTTCACCTTAATGGGAGTTCTTATCCGAATAGTTTTACTAGCATTCAAATTGTTTTTAAATAGGATTCCTGCATTTGTTTGATAGGGTTCGTATTTAAATTTTAAAAGGATGACTATTAAAGGGCGCCTATTAATTTTATTCATTTTAATCAGATTCCAAGTAGTTTGAATAGGATTCTTAGTAGTTTTAATAGCATTCTTATTCCTAGTAATTTTAATTAATTTCAATAGAAAGCCTAAGAATTTTAATAAGCTTCATAGCAAATTTTAAGCATATTCCTATGAATTTTAATAGGCTTCTGATTCAATTTAATAAGATTTCGTACATTTTTTGATTGGATTCCTTTTGCTTTGATAAGCTTCCTATGCATTTAGATAGGTTTCTGATTCATTTGAATAGGCTTCGTACAGGGTTTCCCATTCATGTTAAAGGACTCCTATTGCTTTCATAGAATTCCTATTAGATGCAGCAGTGCTCCTATTATTTTTTTGAATCCTGTTCCCTGTTCATTTCAATCCCGAGGCCGCTAAGAAGTGTACCCACCCCCTACCCCCGGCGCGGTCCGCCAGCGTGGAGGGCCGAGTTTTTTTGGCCCGGAATGGGTCGACCTGTATCCAGTCGCGGCCGACGTGCCCGGACCAGGGGGATTTGGCCCAGGTACAGCGTCCCCCGCCGTAAACCCCTCCCCCCCCGCGCCCCTCAAACCGAGTCTGTAAGCAACAAGCAACGCAGGTTAAGTGGCAGCGTGAGCGCTTGTTGTCTAACGGATGCCGCCTGAGGCTACCGTTTACCCACTTCCCCTTCTTCCCCTTGCCCCCCCCTCCCCGCCCCTCCGCCCCCCCCTTTTCCCCTACCCCCCCCCACTACTTCTCGCTGCGCCACCCTTCCCTATCCAACCGCACTGCCTTCCCCACCCCCCCCCCCCCCCCCCAACTCCTTTCCCATGCATGGACACACCTTGTCCCCAAACCCCCCCCTGCCCTACTCCTTCCCCCCAACCCATCCGCCCCCACCCCCACCCCTGCGCTTGTCATGCCGCCTTCCCCCCCCTAACCCCCACCTTCCTGCCGCCTCGGTACCCTTGCCGAGGCGGCCTCGCGTTAGCGATAAGATTAGAGTCCAAGCAATTTCATTGAAATTCTTAATACTCGTACTAGCAATCCTATTAACAAAAAAATTTAATGGGTTCATAATAATTCTAACAGTACGACTCTTTTTGTTTTAAAGAGTTCACCTTACTTTTTTATAGACTTCTATTGGTTCCTCCTAATCTTATTGGGATTCATCTTCAAAACAAACGGATTCCTGTTACTCTTAAACGGATTCATAGAAATTGTTGAAGGGTTCCTGTTAATTTTGATAGCATTCCTATGAGTTCAAAAGGGTTCCTATTTTTGTCAATGGGCTTCCTATGATTCCTTTGAATTTAGGACTAGTCCTACTAATTTCAGAAGCTTCTACACATGTAAACCACATTCCTATTAATTGTACTAGGATTCTTACTAAGTTTTTGAAAAAATCGTATTACTTTCAACAGGGTGCTCATTCATTTTAATGGGGTTCCTGTTGATGTACATAGGATTCCTATTGAATTCCTACGAACCCTATGAATCCTATTAAATTTAGTAGGAACCCAAGCAAAACTGACAGGAATCATATTAAACTTAATAGCAATCCGCGATCGGAGCACTCGCTTGAGCAGCTGAGCAATTGCTGAATCAAATTATTATGTGAATTAAGCTTCTTGGAATCAACGAAGTTAATTCAAGAAATTAAATCAATTCCATTAGACAAACTTGTGAAATTGAGAAGAATATTTAATGAATCCATAAAACCCTACCATGACCAAACCGGGAGGCCGATCTGTCGGACTTCAGGGATTAGCATATGGAAACGTAGGTTTGGGGGGGGGGGGGGGGACCATATATATATATATATATACATATATATATATATAATACCCTGCACGGCCAGAGTCCAGAGATCAACGTGCATCCAAGAAGCAAGCAACCACTCCCGGCGGGTTAGGCGGTGTATCAGGTGGCCTCTTGGCTCAAGGAGTCCCAGGCCCCTTTGTTTCTCCTAACACAAACAACTTCATGACAACATCAATGCAAGTCAGGGACGGATCAGGCCGGTCGTCGAACGGCGAAGCCTGTAAAGCATGGAATTCATCGCTGCGTTTGTGCAGATGTTGCCCCCAAACCCTAAACCCTAAACCCTAAACCCTAAACCCTAAACCCTAAACCCTAAACCCTAAACCCTAAACAGGCAAACAAGGCACCTCGTTCGGCAGGACAGGGTCGTCGGCGTCTGCTGTCTGTCGAAGACTTTCCAATCCCGGATACTCCTCCTCCGGCGGGCATTAGGATGTTCCCCCTTACACTAACAGTCCTTACTAGGGGTTGTGGTACCCCCCTTGTAGAATCCCTATTAAGGAGCTGTTAGTATAAGGATCCCAAGGCGGGCAGCTCTTGTCTGCAAAAAGGCCTCATTTCTTGCCGTTGATCTTCTCATAGATGGGGAATGTCAATATGGTTGTGATGGCCTCTACCCACACGAAATGGGTTTCCTGACCGAAAAACAAATAACACTCACCTAAACAACGACTCAAAAAAACAAAACATAAACACCCCAAAAACATCTCATCTGTTTAGAGTTTAGGGTTTGGGGTGTTGGGATTAAGAATCGTGAGCCGAGGGCTATAGATTTGAATGAGCCAGACCCAGAAGCGAAACAGCCCCCCGAACACAGGGGCTTGTTTTCCTAGTCCAGGCTTACGAACGGATGGACATCGCTTTGACGACTCTGACCCAAAGAGGTTTGCAGATTCAGACGTGATGTACACTGGCACCGCACTACCCAAAGCGCGAGACAAAACTGATGCCAGACTCTCGTGCACAGTGTTGCTGCACAAATTCGGCAGGGCTGAGCGGCGTCTCACTAGAAACCTTCACGGTAGATCCAGGGGCTGCGTACTCACATGTACAGTCGGCAACTGTTGAGATTCGAGAGGAAGGTACCAGTATGAACCGAAGCTGTATGGTTAGTGTTAAAGGTGTTGGGGTACGCAAGCAGGAGGCCACAAAAAGCAGACGTCCTGCTCAAGGGCCAGCTGATCATCGCTGTATCCCTTCCTCATGGCAGGCAGCTGCAAGTCTGAGCCATCTGTCTGGGGCGCTGCCCGGTGCTTGTGGCACCCCTCACGGTTTAGGGTTCAGGGTTTAGGCTTTAGGGTAACTTGAAAAACTTCTTCGACCTGAGGAACTGGCTCCATCTGCCACCCACTTGCCCTATGTTGACCCGGATCCTGTGCGACCTGGCGCAAGCAGCGAAAATCGAGAAGCGAGCGGACGTGTCACTGCCGCGGACCAAGCGCCTGTGAGGCCACCTCCTCCAAAGGATCTTTCCTTGGCAGCCGGCCCCAAACAGGAAGGACAACCCTTGGTCAGTTCTCCAATTCTGACCATTTTATGGGGATTCATACGATGGTACGGAGCCTCAAAGTTCGGGTACCCTCCCACAAAAGGACCGCAATCCGGAGAGCTGGCCTGTTGTCTACTTGCCTGCGCCCTTCACTCGACACTTGGGAATCAGGCACCCTACAGAATCCCTGGAAGAAAGCCCTTAAAGGGGGTATGTGATGGTGGGTTGTCAGATGCCTAATTGGGGGGGGTATATTCGGGGTGTTATAAGGTACCTCTGCGAGGGCGTACAAGGTACCTAAATCCCCATAATTCCAAAAAACGAAGAGCAAAAGCTCAGCACCAGACCGGCACTTGAGAAGTCTGGAAATGTAGTCCGTCAGAGGCCTCGCAGGTCTGAACTGCAGTGTCCTTACGGCTAGGGCTACATTATAACAATAAGACAAAACTATACTAACCAGCCCTAGCCGCTAGGGGTGGTTAGTATAGTTGTGATACCGTTAATGTGGTTCATGTCGCTGTTGATAACTTCTAGCGGAATCATCGTGGATCAGGATGTTTAGGGTTCGGGGTTTGGGGCCAAGGGATGCAAAAGCCGCCGCTGCCTTCTTTTAAGTCCGACTCTCCCCAAAATATGACGACCTACCGCCCAAGGACGCAGGCTTCAAATGGGGATTTATACAGAGAATATTCGGGTGTCCATCCCAAACTTCGGCCCAATCAACAGTCAGGGGCTCATGTCGGGTTTAGAGATGTTTGGGGTTGAGAGCTTGGCAAACGATGCTAGTTTACCGTCTGTTGGTTGACGTTCTTGTGCTGGAGCTAACTCTCTTTTGTACTGGATGTCGTTTCGCGTGCATTCGGCTGCGACACTGCGTGCTGTTTATTGCTACAAAGGTTTCACGTGTTCTGCGCAGACCAACATGTGATTGGCAGAGACGATGGAGACGCAGAAGTCCCGGGATCCCTGCAATGCAAAGAAGCAGCCAAGGATGACCAGGAAGAAGATGCCGATCCTGGAGACGAGGGCGGCAGTTCCTACTCCAGTGCTTCTGACACTCCGCTCCCGACCTGACTGGTGAAAAGAACTCGTCTGCTGATACCTGCCGTCGCCACAACACTCCGACGCAGCGCAGGCGAAAGATTCCGCAAGAAGTTTGCAGGGCAATGGGGAAGCCACCTCGACATCGGAAGGCGACATGACCCGATCGGGCACCACTCCCTTCCGTCGGCAGATGGACCTCCTTTGCCTAGGTGCTGGCCATGGTGGGGTTTCTGACAAACTGACCTAAAGCCAAACCCCTAAACCCTAAACCCTAAACCCTAAACCCTAAACCCTAAACCCTAAACCCTAAACCCTAAACCCTAAACCCTAAACCCTAAACCCTAAACCCTAAACCCTAAACTCAACTCGCCCCCCCCCCCCCCCCCCCCCGCACCCCAATACAGGGGGAACCCCGGGAGCGACACGGAAATGTTTGGCCCAGATGCACTTCCGTCATCACCTGCGAGTCTTCGATGATGACGCCCAAAGGATCCGTACCCGCCTCACAAGTCCACTCAGCTTCCTTTGGGCTTTGGGATGGCTCACGGGTACCCATGAGGCAAAAACATCCCTAAACCCTAAACCTTAAACCCTAAACCCTAAACCCTAAACCCTAAACCCTAAACCTTTGAGGCAACGCGTCGGCCTGGAAGGACCACCATGGTAGTTCCATCGGAATCGTGGTGCGGACTGTGCCGTAGATGCTGCACCTGAGTGGCTCTGCCAAGCACCAATATCACCAGGGTTCTCACCAACAGCATGCCACACGCACAAAAGCACCAAGGAGGTTCAAGCAACGAAACTCCGTTCCGAGTAGGCTGCGGAAGAGGGCTGTTGAGCGGAAAGGTTCGTAGGATCTCTGAGTCGTGGGCAGAGGAAAGTTGTACGCATAGCCAGCACACTGCGGATCGCCTCAGGCAGCCAGACGCCGAGTTTTCATCCAGATGTCCAAGCGGCCGACATGCCGAAAGACTAAGTACACATGGGAGCTAGTTTGAACCCTAAACCCTAAACCCTAAACCCTAAACCCTAAACCCTAAACCCTAAACCCTAAACCCTAAACCCTGCGCACATGCCACTGCTGCTCTACAGTCATGCCCTGCCTGTACAAATCCTCTCGCATTCTCGCTGATCCTGTCAGTTCAAAATGCTTGCATCACGCACGTGCCGAGCTGACGCGGGCAAAGGGCTCCCTATGAAAGAAGAAGGCCCCCCCCCCCCCCCCCCCCAAAAAAAAAAGAGGGACTCGGAATGTAGAACAACTCTGTTTGCATCCCCATGCACCTTCACGTCCCCTGCATAGCGGGCCATGCGCCGATTCTCACGATCCACACCTGGGCGGAGACCGACAGTGAAGGGCTTTAAGCCCGACACCGTGCGCAGGGAGGGCATGGTTTAAGTCAGAAGTTCGGAAGGCACCAAGTGCTCCAGGGGAGAAGGAAGCAGAAGGGAGATAGCAGCAGTCAGCACCTCTACAAGAGAGAAAGAGGATGGGGCCGGAGGGAGGCAATCACGCTGCTTGCAACTACACAAGCTGCTCTGATAAGATGAAGGCATTCGCCAGCTCCAATGGTCTGATACCTGGCTGATCCGCGGGATGGATTGAGCTAGCGAAGGGCGTTTTGCATTTGGGTACCAACCAAGGTATGGAAGAGCAGATGCCAGGGCGCCACAAAACAAGGCGGGCCAACTGGTAGCCATCAGCCAGCATGCCCATGCAAACCCCTTCGATGCACCTGCGTGCTGTGAGAACTTGAGGCACTGACGTTGATTTAACGCACAGGACATGAGGCGGAATGAGATAGGGTAGTTGTCTGAATATGGGCCCTACACAATGCGGCACGTTCACTATCAGGACCCCCCCCCAGAAAGGACCCTAATTTTAAGAACCGCCCAATAATCTTCTAGTCGGGAATAAGGGAATGAGGCACCCTACATCCCCCCCATATATATATATATATATATATATCTGTATATATACATATATATATATATGCGTTCAGGGCTTACATAGGGGGCCTAATTCCCGACCCTAAACCCTAAAGCCCTAGACCCCCATTCCCTACGAAGACCCCCTGGTTCTTAGTAGGGAATGAGGGAGTGAGGGCCCTCTATTATCCCTTAAAGGGTATATATTTAGGGCCTTCACTCCCTCATTCCCTACTAAGAACCAGCCAGAAGAGCCAGAGGAATGCAATAATCTCGGCGGCTCGGCGAGTCATTGCTTGTGGTGGGGTCTTGATCGTTGCAGGGGCGATATCCAGGAGCCAAAGTCTGGCATGATGTGGCCATATAGAACTATATAAAATTATAAACCAATGATCGTAATATACCACAAACCAAATTAGTATATAGATATATACATATATATATATGTATATATATATAGCAGTATACTATATGTATACATACGCATATATATATATATGGGCGTCCGCCTATTGCGGTTCCCCTTATTTTTAAAGGTTTACATAAATGTATATATTTTAAACCCTAAACCATCGTTATAACCACAGCAACAAGTCGATGATGATGCAGGTACCCCAAACCTATAGGGTTAAGTTTGACAGGTTTAGGGCTTAAGATTGAGGCATTTAAACGTAAGCCCGCAATGAAACCTAAACCCTAACCGTTCAACCCGATAGAGTTAAGGCTAAGCGGTTAGGGTTTAAGATTTAGGTTTTTTTTAAACTTTAAACCTAAACCCATAGAGATTTAACCTTAAGGGTTGAAAGTTCGGGCAGTTAAACCTTAACCCTGAACCGTTTAGGGTCAGAACCCTAAAACCCGATAGGGCTCTACAAGGAACAAAGGTTTTGACCCTAAAGGGTGCTGAAGGTATACATGCCCAGACCTTAGGTTTTCTTGAACCATTCAACCCTACAGGGTTTAAAGGCTTTAGGGTTTAAGGTTTAGGCATTACCTGTACGATAGAACCTTAAAGCCCTATAGGGCTTGGAGCTTAAATCCCTAAACCTTAAATCCCATAGGGCTATGCCTACGTTTGTAGGGCTTTCTTCCCAATGACGCGAGAATACTGTGAGCAAATGTCCTTTTCACTATTTCCTGGGATTCAAAATATAAACAAACCATATCGTTACATGATAGAATTCAGGTTTTGCTTATCGGGGGATGGTTGCTTGAGCTATTCTTATAGGATAATTACATGTTTGTCAATCAAACCCTGAACCATAGCTATAACCGCAGCAAAAAGTTATAACCTTGTCATATACATATATCCGCAGAGCTCGTCAAATCCGATCATGATGTAGGCGCCCCAACCCTAGAGGGTTAAGGTTGACAGGTTTAGGGTTTAAGATTGAGGCATTTAAACCTAAGCCGGCAATTCAACCTAAACTCGAACCTTTAAACCCTATAGAGTTAAGGTTTAAGGGGTTGGGGTTTAGGACTTAGGCATTTAAAACGAAAACTCAAAGAGTTTTAATCTTAAGGGTTTAAAGTTCGGGCATTCAGGCCTTAACCCTGATTTGGTTAGGGTCAGAACCGTAAAACCCTACAGGGCTCCCAAAGGTTCAAAGGTTTTAACCCTAAAGGGTGCTGAATGTATACATGCCCAGACCTTAGGTTGTCGAACCATTGAACCCTATAGGGTTTAAAGGTTTAGGTTTAAGGTTTGGGCATTAATTACCTATACAATAGAACCATAAAACCCCAGAGCACTTAGAGCTTAAGTCCCCAAACCTTAAACCCCATGGGGTTATGCCTACGGTTGTAGGGCTCTTTCGCCCCGGTGACGCGAGAATACTGTGAGCGAATGTCCTGAAAACTACTTCATGGGATTCAACATATAAACAAAGAGGATAATTCAAGTTTTGCTTATCGGGGGATGGTTGCTTGAGCGATCTTAGGTAAGGTAAAGCTTTTAGGATAGAGGTTTTGTTTTGCTTGTTGGGGGCGTGATGGGGTTGCCCTCATTTTTTCTTATAGGTGAATTTACATGTATATCAATCAAACCCTGAACCATAGTTATAACCGCAGCAAAAAGTTATAACCTTGTCATGTACATATATCCGCAGAGCTCGTCACTTTCACTACTTGCTGGGATTCAACATATACACAAACTATATCGTTAAATGATGGAATTCAGGTGTTGCGTATCGGGGAATGGTTGCTTGAGATATTTTAGCTAAGGTAAAGTATTTGGGATATTTCGCTTGTTGGGGCGTGATGGGGTTCCCCTTAATCTAATGGGTTTACATAAGTGTATAAAAATCAAACCCTAACCCATAGTTATAACCACAGCAATAAGTTATAACCTTGTCATATAGAAATTTCCGCAGAGCTTGTCAAATCCGATGATGATGTAGGCACCCCAACCCTAGAGGGTTAAGGTTGACAGGTTTAGGGTTAAAGATTGAAGCATTGAAACCTAAGCCGGCAATTCAACCTAAACCCTAACCTTAAAACCCTATAGAGTCAGGGTTTAAGAGTTAGGGTTTAAGGCACAACCCCATATAGTATACGTATACTTATGAGCAGAAAAGATACGGGAGACACTGCTTGCGATTCAGAATATTCGGAGCAGAAAGGATACAGGGGACACTGCTTGCGAATCAGAACTTTAGGAGCAGAAAAGATGCGGTAGAGGTACCTCGGCAGGAGAACCATTAAACCATTAAACCATTTAACCAATAAACCATTAAACCATTAAACCAATGGTTGCCCCCTTATGAGAATCCCCTAAACTATTAAACCATTAAACCATTAAACCAATGGTTTCCCCCTTATGAAAATCCCTTAAACCATTAAACCATTAAACCATTAAACCATGAAACCATTAAACCATTAAACCATTAAACCACTGGTTGCCCGCCATGAAAATGGTTTAATGGTTTAGGGGATTCTCATATGGGGGAAACAATTGGTTTAATGGTTTAATGGTTTAATGGTTTAGGGGATTCTCATAAGGGGGAAACCATTGGTTTAATGGTTTAATGGTTTAATGGTTTAATGGTTTAATGGTTTAATGGTTTAATGGTTTAGGGGATTTTCAGAAGCGGGAAACCATTGGTTTAATGGGTTAATGGTATGGTTTAATGGTTTAATGGTTTAATGGTTTGGGGGGGAGACCATTGGTTTAATGGTTTAATGGTTTAATTAATGGTTAAGGGGATTCTCATATGGGGGAAACCATTGGTTTAATGGTTTAATGGTTTAATGGTTTAATGGTTTAATGGTTTAATGGTTTAATGGTTTAATGGTTTGAGGGGTTTTTGGTTAGATGGTTTAAGGGAATGTGCAAAAACACAGGGGAACCGCTATAGGCGGTGACCCATATATATACACATGCATGTATGTACGTATATATATATATATATATATATATGTATAGCAATGTACCACTTGATGCACACGGGGCCATGCCCAAGAAGCAAAACTGCGCAGGGGCCGCAGCTTCACTGCACAAACCGGTCTTGGGATCGCATCTGCCTGCAAACCCAGACGGGGTGATTGAACGCAATCTTGGCTTTCAAGTGGAAGGATGTTGAAGGATTTGAGGCTTTGAGTTGACGGACGCTTCTTGCAATGACTCAGCGTCTCGAAGCTGCGCCTGGATCGTAGCACCAATTCGGTGCCTGGGGCGCATGCTGCGGCAAAACGGCATGCAGCTCAGACGACGACTTGGCCCAAACCACTAAATCACTCAAGATGTTGGTCAGCAAGTCTGCGCCGCATAAGACATGCACCTCGCACACGACACCGAACTGCTCACAAAGATCCTGTGGACGGCCTGAAAGCGATCAAGCGAAGGAATTCTACCCTTTTTACACCGCGCAGTCGCTGCTACCATTGTGCTGTTCTTGTTATAATGACTGAGATTGTCGTGGTATCGTCATCGTCGTAGTATCAGTGCGACTATGCTTCTGATTGTTTTTGTGATGACTGCTAGTACACGAGTCTGCGTATTGATGAATAGATGCAGTGGGCATTTTGTGCAACACCTGGCCTACGCACAAGCCGTTCTGGCATTGGTCCTCCAGCAGCTGCAATCAATTGACATGATTCGGGGTTACAGGGTTGCACATCCAGCTATAGGGTAGTAGAGTTATTTAGCCCCGACTTCGTGGCTCCTGAACCGTGAACTGCCTCCCGTCATCACCTCGCAAGTCTCAACGTCTTGTGCTGAAAGGAAAGGGCTGTGCGAAGCAAAGCAAGAGCCATTTTACCGCCCAGCTGCAAGGTGTCTCATCTGGCAGCTTGTCGTACGTACAGCGGCCTGTAGACGGATGACCTCCAAAGATGCAAAAGAGGCGCTAGCAGACTTCCTGCCTTGCCGGGGTCCAGACACTCGCCGCCGGTCAGACATGAACTCAG